GGCAGGATTTGAAACAAACTGGAATGGACTGCTGAAATGAACGCAATACATAATGCATGCAAATCATGTTCAACCAGCTGAGTTGTTTGGTTCTTTAGGTACTAGAAAGAAATGGTTACCAAGCATTTAGAGCTGTTTTGAATCTTAAGTGTTTAATCACATTATGACTATTATTAAACAGTTAAATTGGACCTTTATTTTTAGCTGTAAACTTCACTTTATTTTTCTCAAGAATGTAGTATCTTTGAAGGAATTATGAGTAAGGCAAATGTTAATATTTTTTTTTTCTGCATCATCTCAATTTGCCGGTTAAGTTCTGTCAGATTCTCAGTGTTTGTTTAGTAAATGACAAAATTCTTCATATAAACTTAAGTGAGCAAAATGTGTTTGTTCTCAAGTTCATCAGGAGTCAGTCTGAGTATTTTCCCTTTCTAAAAGACAGGGAGTGCAATGTTAGATGCTGTTTCTGCCTGGAAGTTGCCTATTTTAGACATTTCTCACCCTTTTTCTACAGTAGAAAAATGGATACAACTAGTGTCAGTCCTTCCTTCCCCTGCACCCACTTCCCTTTCCTGCCTTCCCTGCTCCTTCCGTTGGCATAGGCTTCTGCTTGTAAAATACCTTGAAATAAACCACACTGGTTAAGGTAATGGGTTGATAGACAGTTCTCTACTTAAGAAATGAACATTTTATGTGCTCTTCAAAGACCAACATGAGAAGAACTTGGGAACTACCAAACTTCTGCCTGCCTTACTATAGTAATTTGTTTCAGGCTTTGGAGAAGAGACAAAGTGGGAGGAGAAATGGGCGTTTTGGATGGTGTATGTGTGTTGCCTACAGAAGGCCCAGGGCCTTTTCATTTTCTTTTGCTCTGTGGTGGGATTTTTTTTGTTGTTTTTTAGATCAAGCTCCTAGTGACAGATTTCATCATGGTTTTTTTATTTCTAGACAATACTGTGTCAATATAGTTTCATATCTAAAATTGTGTCTGAATCGGGCAAGTCATTTTGCGGCAGCCTTTTTTCGGGCTTTCTATTCTGAGATGAATCAATGGCGTTTAAAATTTGAGGATGTTGTCTTTGATAGATACCAACTGAAACCCTACAGCTAGTGGTAGTAATTTCAAACGCAAATGGTTTTTTTTCTTTTGACTGTTAACATCAGCTCCTTAAGGTCGCTTTTGAGGAGAGTCTAGAAAATTGCGTGTGTGTTGGGAGGACGGGGAGTCCTGTTAACTGGTTTGGAGAAGGCAAAGTCATAAAGGTCTCTGGTGTTTGCGCTAAAGGTGGGGAAAGGCCGACAGGCGTTCTGACTCTTTCTGGAGAACATAAGGGGAGTATGTGCTGTTTATTTTCCAGGCTAAACCCTTAAACACATCCCCCCCAAAAAAACCCAAAATCACCGATAACAAGTCCCCTAAAAAACAGAAACAAAAAGCCCCCACCCAGATATCCCGTTTTGGAAGGGGCTAAAGCGCTGCCCGTGCTCGTTCCCCGGGCCGGCCGCTGCTGCCGTTGGTCGGGAGCTTACGGAGGCCCGCCGGCCCCTCACCTCCCCGGCAGCCCCCCGTGCCCTCTGCCACTCCCCCCCCGTGCCTTTCTAACTGCTAAACCGACTGCTCCTCCTCTCCCTGAGAAGTATTCTGCCTCTGAAAACGAGCTATTGGTGCGGGAAGGAGGGAGGCGGGCGCAGCCGAGGGGGTGTGTGTGGCTCCGCCGGAACGTTCTGGAAGCGGGGTGGTGCCTCCCCCAGACGGCAGATGGAGGAGAGCTCGCTCGCGGGGCTGACGGCAAGCTCTGGCCTGGAGTTCCCTGAGCGGACTGGAGCCGAGAGCAGAAAATGCTCCGAGTAAAGGCTCTTATTTTGCAGTGTCTGTTTTACTGTATTGAGAGTCGTGCTATTATTCTGGCATTTGTGCGCAAGGCTGTGAAGCTGGCCGGGGGCGGGGGGGGCAGCTGTGTGTGGGAAACACAGGGGTTTTTTCGGTGCCTTTTTTAAAGCAGCATTGGTGCCCTTTGTTTTTAAGCTTGGAGGCTGTTTGCCTGATGATTCATTCTGCAAATGGCAACAGCATCACTGGAAAACGTATATTCTGCATAGCGCTTAAATGTGCTAACGTACACAAATCTGAATGATAAAGGATTCACGTGACATAAAAGAAGAGCAGTACTAGATCACTTGTATAGTTAATGAGTGTCATTTTAATGTGACAGGCATTCTGGAAAATTTTTTTTTTTTCCTTACACATTGCTTAATGCTTTTGGATACAACAGCTGAGGATGAATTGTAACAACCATTTAAAAGTAATTTGCATTACTAAATACTTTCAGACACAAAAATCTGTAATTTTTTTGACGTTACAGATGAGTAAATTGCATTACACTCGAATAACCTAGAACCAGCTATACAGCAAATTACACTTACAGTGGGAAAGAGGAAGCATAATGTAACTTATCTATATATAACCTTGATACTTCTGGCATTGTAAAGAGGAACAATGCAGGAACTAGAAGAGGCCCGTGGTGCAAAGCAAGCTCTTCTGGTCCTGAGGCGCTCTGCCTGTGCCTGCTGGCATTGACAGGCATTGCTGTCTCCATCATTTTCCTTTTCCACTAAATGGTGCCAAGCTGCAACTGCAGCAGTGCTGCTGGATGTGTACTTAGCCAAACACTGCTGGGGATTTATTTTGTTTAGAGTTTCAGGAATTCATGTCTGTAGTCAGTATAATGGATGGCATATTTATTTGCATTGAGTTGTTTCATGCTCTAAGAGTTTCTTGTAAGGTAGCAAGTGAGGGGGGAAAGGTATTGGCGAAATGATTAATCTTTTACATATGCACGCTCACTAGTAAGCAAAGCCTGGCGCTTCCCTCCCCTCT